AGTGAGGCTTCAAGGGTCCTCCCCAAGACGTACTTGGATTTGGGGTGGCTTTATTGTGTGGGTGTCTTGTGCATGCAGCCACAGCTCCCGTGAGTTCATATGTGCAACAGTGCCACTATGTCTGGAAAATACTAGTGCACCATCATTATCTACTCCCTCTTCCCAATGATTTCGGAGCTTTAGGAGTTGGGGTATAATGCAGATGTCTCCTTTAGAGTTGAGCACTCTACAGTCTCTTACTCTCTGCATGTTAGCCAGTTGTAGGTCTCCATATTAATCACTGTACTGGTTAGTTTTATGTCAACTTGACACAAGCTAAAGTCACCTTAGAGGACATAACCTCAATTAAGAAAATGCCTCTGTAAGATCAGGCTGTAGGCAAGCCTGTAGGTTATTTTCTTAATTAATGATTGATGGCAGAGGGCCCAGCTCATTGTGGGTGGTGCCATCCCTGAACTGGTTATCCTGGGTTCTATAAGAAAGCAGATTGAGCAAGCCAGTAAGCAGCACCCTTCAATAACTTCTGCATCAGCTCCTGTCTACAGGTTCCTGCTCATCTTGAATTCTTGTACTGACTTCCTTTGATAATGAACAGTGATATGAAAGCCAAAGAAGCCCTTTCCTCTCTAAACTTGCTTTTTCGTCATGGTGTTTCATCACAGCAATAGAAACCCTAACTAAGACAATCATCATCTACCAATAAAAGAAGCTTCTCTGATGAGGGTTGAGAGATGCATTAATATGTGGGTATAAAGATGAGGCTTTAGGGAGTAGTTTATTAATATGTCCATTTAGCATAATAAGTCTATGACTTAGACAGCCAGGAGTTTTTGACCCAATTAATGATTCCAGGAATAAGTTTCATCTTGTAGAGTGGGTTTTAAATCCAAGCAGAAAGTGTTTATTTACTCTGTAACATTTGTGCCACCATTACATCAGCAGTCATATCTTGCCAGGCCAGTCATTACCACAACTTGCAGGACTCACACCTGGGTGAGACTATTGATTACTTTTCTCCCCTGGAAGAGTGTATAGAACCTTCCAGTACTATGAAAACTAGTCAGGAGGGATGAAGCTTTTTGGTCAGTCAATAACAGCTCTTTGATATAGAAATTAAAAACTGTCACATGTTCGCCAAATCTTTATCAGTCGCTGCACATCCATCTGTTAGGATAGCTATCATCAAAAAGATGAGTAACAAATCTGATGCAGCTGTCTGAGTCATTTCTACTCCTGTGAGTAAGCCCTCTCTTATATTTCTGCAGGTAACCCCAATTAAACTCATTGGTTCTCCAACTTGGCCTTTGGTGGTGTTTTCACTTAAGTCTGCTTTTGGTTTCCTATTGGGATGAATATACATTTTTTTTCATATCTCCATGGAATAGTGTCATACAGTACAAGAGCAGTGGGCAAAAGGCTGATAGGACCTGTCTTAGGTATCCTGACTAGAACAGCATCAGAAAGGCTGGCTTACCTCACAAAGGGGATGCAGGTATGACTATCTGACAGGAGAGTGCAGCCAGAGGCCAGAAGCACCTGGGGCTTAAACCCACAGATGCCTAACCTGAAACAGGAGCATGGCTTGAGTGTGATGGTGGTGGAGAGCAAGCTGAGGATAGAGGCCATTTAATCATAGTCTTCACTGCAGATAAAGGTACCGTCTATGGGACAGAGCAGTTTCTTTAAGGCCCAAAGACCAGCAACATCGCTGAGAACTCGGTTTAGACATGGTACAGAGTAGAGTGTTCAGGGTAGTCTTGAAGGACCAAGAAAGTAATTCATCGATTAGAGAACAGAAAGACATATTGAATAGTTAGTTCAAATTCACCTGTAATACATCTAGTAAGAAGCAAGGTGATTAATGGGTCTGGTTAACATACTTAAGGCATGGGGCAAGTAGGGTGGAGGTGGAGAGGTCCCATTGTCTGGAACATGGGGTTACATCCTATGTCTCCTTCGACATCGACTTCATGGTGATGGTAGGTTAATGGGACCACAGTGGAGATTTGAGCAAGTGATGTGTCAGGAAACTAGTTGCAGTTACTTGTGGGGAGAACATTCTAAGATGACCAGTCTATGCTGTTGAAGATGGAGTAGGCAAGGCCAATGGAAGCTAGTAAAAGGAACTTACCAAGGACACAAACAGAAAATCCATTGAAATACTCTACAAGTGGGTAGCAGATGAGACCACAGAGAGGAAGTTTCATGGCTGATAGGATGTAGAAGTCTTACAGTAGTGAGGGGCAGCTACTCGATCTTATAGACCGTTTGTATGAGGTCCAAATCTGTATGGATAGATGGGCATCTCACTATCTTATTAAGTAATAAAATTTGTAGCACACGTTGTCTTTCTTGAGATTAGTCTTCTATGTCAGATGCTATAGGTCATTGGGAATTTTGCTCCACGTGCCTGCATAAGACATCTTAAGTCGCTAGAGGTCAGGGTCAAAGTGGCTGTGGCTGGGTTGCTAAAATGTGGGGATTTTGTTTTTGTTTTTTTGCCTTTTTCTCTAGAGTAGGTGCCTGAATTGTGAGTAGTATTAATATCATATATATTCTGTTTTTTCCTAGACATACAATGATAGTTTAATTCATAGATATATGCAAGGATGATCAATAGCTGCCAGCAAAATAGAGCAATTGTAGTGCTCTACAATAAAATTAATTCAAATTTACGAGCTGCTTATTTCTGGAATTTTTCTATTTGGTACTTTTGGAACCACAGTTCACTATGGATAAACCAAATCAGAGTGAGGTACAATGCTACACCTGATTATTCACTTATAGGATGGATTCAAGTGCACCAAGCTGGCACAGTTGTCCGCTTGAGAAACCTACCGCATGAGTTGATTGACATTACCTATGGAGAGGATACACGGGGCCAGAATGATGTTATCAGAGAATGGCCGAATTAAGACCTCAGAAATACCCTGCCATCCAATTCTATGTACCACCTAAATGCAGTCTTTCCACTTCTCATAAACTCTGCAACGTCTCTTAGGCTATTTACTTGCTCACTGTCGAGACTGTACACGCCTTAACCAGTTTGTCCAGATGTTAGAAATTTCAACTCAATTTATCTTCTCTGGTAAAACTGGATAACCTCCAAATCAAATGTGTATTCCAGGCTGTGGCTTAACGTGTGCATGTCTGCTAAATTGAGGTAGGTTAACAGGGTGAGGCCAACAGTGGTTAGGCCTGGAAGCCTCCATCAAGTAGCCTGAGGCATTTTCTTGGCTTCTTAATAAGCCTCATTTTCCTCCCTTGTAGAGGGGCTAGCTACTCAGTATACAGCACCCATGGGAGATGGCAGTGAGGGAGTGACGTAAGAGGCACAGGGCCTGACAAGCCCCAGGATTGTAAGAAGATCTGAGTTCTAATCTGCTCAGTCAGTGGGGAGGTTCTGGGGACACAGCCTTTCAGGCCTGTGTGAAATCTCAGGTGGGGGTTGCCACATCTGTACGTGGAAAATGAAGAACTTGGAGAATATATTCTTGCTGAGGAAGTGCTTCCCATGCTGCCTGTGCACAGAGATCTGATTCAGACATCTCTGTGCATCGTGACCTTGGGAACAAAGAGATGGTATCATTCGGAAAAAAAAAAAAGGGTGGGGGATGGGAGGTGAAGGGGTGGGTGAGTGATGAAAGTGTAAGTCCTCCCAGGAAACAAATGGCTGAGATGGGGAAATGGGCTAAATTCTAACAGGAGAGGGTTTGTTTGTTTGTTTGTTTAATTAACTTTCTTTGGAGAAGGAGAGAGAAATCCTAAGAGTTCATTGTTGCTGTGTATACATTATTTAAAATTCACAAAGCACCCCTGGAACCACATGTGTGGGGTCTCCAAGCAATGCTCTAATTCTCTCTAGGCATCAAAGGACACCCAGTGATTCAGTTAAACTTCAACGTCACCTGCCACCAGCCTAAGGCAACACAGGCTTGACTCAGTTCAATGAGATTTCCACTTTAGATGCCAATCACGAGTGGAAGGTCCCCAGGGTAGCTCACACTTTCTTTGAACCCTGCTACCAATGGAAGGTCCCCACAACCTCTGCCTCAGTTTTGGTATCTTATCAATTTTCTGTTATGACTGAATATCATAAATTGAAAATAATAGAGGTTAATGTGGGTCTGAGGTTTGTGGTTCTAAGTACGCAAAAATTGATGGACCACATCTGATGAGGACCTCTGCATGGTATCATAACATGGTGGAGGAGCAAGTGACTAAAAGAGGTACAAAGTCACTTCTGCAAAGACTAACCTGCTTCAGCAATAACTGTACCGATCCTCTCAAAGATGATGAGGGGATTGTGACCTATCTTCAGGGTAAATATTCCACATCTTAATTTTATTCTAATTACAATCATATTTCCACCTGTTCCTTGGAATGGACAATTATTAAGGAACAGGTGAGAAGCTCGATGTACAACAAGAAAGGCTGGTACTTGGGTACTTGGGATTTCATTTCATTTCCACCGAATCTCCACGTCTTCACCAATCTGGAAGCTCTCTGAATTCTTTTCAGACATGCTACAGAGGTTCCATTATACAGGCAAAAATAATATATCATTACTCACTGGTGATTAACCCAATCTCCATCCCTTCAAGGTCAAAGATGAATTGAAAGGTCCAATCTGTTTGGTTTTTCTGGCAATGAGCTCTGTCTTTTTAGTTACCAAAGGGTCCACCAAGAGCTAACTTACACATGGCTGAAAAGGGCTTACTGTGGAATGTGTATTTGCTCCATTCTCTCACTGTCACTCAGGAATACCTAGAGTTATAATGACAGAAATGGGAGATAGAAATCAAATATGTATTTCTCATTATAGTGCCGTATCATAATGATGTCAACAGAAATCCCTTCCTTTTAACCCACAGCAGTGTCAGGAGTTGAGGTGAAAGGAGTATTGACCTGCAGAGACAGCACGGCCATTACTGGCTGCATCTCCACCAGCTCTGGAAAGAAAGAAGGAACTTAGTATGTGTCTCCTTGAATAAGGTCCCATGGCCAGACTCTTACAGGCTCTGCTGCTCCTGGTGATCATAGTGGGCCCTGTGTCTAGAAGAGTCCAAGCCTGGGGCTCACCCAAGATTGTGAGGCCATTTGAAGACATACCCCAAACCTATGTCTATGTGCGGCAAGCAGTCTGGTACGCCATGAAGGAGTATAACAAGGCCAGCAAGGACCAGTACAACTTCAAGGTGGTGGACATCCTAAAATCTCAGGAGCAGGTAGGTGCAGTGTCTGCTCCTTGATCCTTTATCCCTTGGTCTTCTTTTGAGGACAGAGATAGTGTCAGGGATAGCTACTACATAGGAATGGAAACAAGGTCAAAAGATGTCTCTATCTAAAATATATCATTTTACTTGAAAAGTGAAAAACATATTCAGATTTCCCTATTTATTAGTCTGAGATAGAGAAAAAGCATAAAATATCAATTAAAATTGTTTACCTTAAAAGTATAGGTGAGCGGCTGGAGAGATGGCTCAGTGGTTAAGAGCACTTGCTGCTCTTGCAGAGAGGACCCAGGCTTGGTTCCCATCACCTACATGGCAGCTCACAACTCTTTGTAACTCTAGTTCTAGGGGATCCGACACCCCTTTCTGGCTTCTGTGGTCCCTAGGCACATACATGGTACACATATGTGCATACAGGCTAAATGTTCATACACATAAAATAAAAATAAATAAATCTTTTAAAGCATTTTTATTTAATTTATTTAGCATCCTGAGTGCAGTTTCTCCTCCCCTACCTCCTTCCATTCCCTCATCCCACCTCCCCTCTGCCCTCCCCCACTCCCCACCAATCTACTCCTCTGTTTATGTTCAGAAAGGGGCAGGTATCCCATGGGTATCAGCAAAGTACTAACCTGGCTCATCGGAACTCACATAATCACAACCAACAACCAGGGAGCCTGCATGAGGCTGACCTAAGCCCTCTCCATATATGCGACAGTTGTGTAGTTTGGTCTGTTTGTGAGGCTCCTAACAATGGGAACAAGGGCTGTCCCTAACACTTTGACTGGCTCTTGGGAACCTATTCCTCATATTGGATTGCCTTGCCCAGCCTAAATACAAAGGGAGATGCTTAGTCTTACCACAACTTAATAAATCTTTTTTTTTTTTAAGTGTAGGTCAGAGCTCAAAAGGGGCAGCTGCAGATTTTGTGCAGTGTTGAGTGCTAGTCCACATGACCTCGTACAGCAGCCTTGAACTACTGAGGCTCAATTAGAACATCTACTTCCTCTTGGTCTGCTTTGTTTTTCATGACTCACTCATTCAGCTTGTATAGCTTCCTAGGTAGGAGTTATTCTTCTGTACTATGGAGAGGAAATCGAGGCACAGAAAGTATACAGTGTTGCATAGCTGAGCAGAAGAGTCAAGACATAAGCCCAAATCCTTGTGATTTTAATCAGTATGTGACTCTGAGTGACTGGATGAGGAGAGCAGCTTCTGAATTGTGCTGGATAGTGGAAACCCATGCAGCAAAAGGAAAAAGAGAGGTTCCTAGAAAGTCCAAAGTCAGAGAAAGGACTCTTTTATTATTTTAATTATTTTATTTAACTATTTTATTTATTTATTATTTAACTATTTTAATTATTTTAACTTGAGAAGCACAGATGTTCTCCAAATTGTAATGATTTAACTTATGATTTTGTGACTTATGGTGGAGTGAAAGCAATATCTGTTCAATATAAACCTTGCTTTGGAATTTCAAATTTTGATATTTTCTTGATTCATCAATATGTGGTATCATATTTTCTTGTGGTATTGTCACAGCTCCCAGTGAGCCCCATGGTCATGGAGAGACAGCTGACTGACTGGGGTACTATATTGCTAACCTAAGACATTTGTGAGGCTGAATATATTAACACACTTTCCACTTACAGTATTTAAATATGTGGTTTTCTTGAAGGGGACATCTGCTTTGCTTGAATGCACAGCTGCGGTTCTCAATGAAGGATGGCTTTTGCTCCCAGGGGATTTTTGGTGATGCCTGGGGTGTTTGTAGATGATGTGAACGGAAGGGCTACTTCTGGTTCCTGTTAAGTTGAGACTTAGAATTCTACTCACTATCTTACAACAGCCAGGCCTCCCAGACAAAGAAAGATCCAGTTTCAAGATTTCTGTGTGACTGAGGTTGAGAAACTTGATTTATCTTGATCTATATAAAAGTTCTAGGGCTCTGATTGGTAGTTGAGTTAAAAATGAAAGCCTGGCTGGGAGGTGTTTCAGTTAGGAAATCGATGCAGTACAAGTATGAAGCCCTGAGTTTGATCCCCAGCATTCATGTTTTAAAAAGCTAGATGTGGCAGTGCTTAATTTTACTTCTACTACTGAAAGAGGCAGAGACAGGGTCCCTGAGGTTTTCTGGCCAGCCAGTGTTGCTGAGTAGGAGAGCTCTAGATTCAGTGAGACTTCCTGCTTAAAATAAAATTAAAAAAAAAAAAGATAGAGAGGCATTGAGGTAGACTCCTGATGTCATACTTTGGCCTTCACATACATAACCACACATGTGCACCCACACTTATGCACATATACATGGATACATACACAATAAAAATGAAAGGAAACAGGTTCTTGCATTTTCAATCTGGCTGGTTACTCCTGAGAGTACCACAAAAGTAGTTTGCTCTCGCCTTCTGGGTATTTTCTTTCCATGTACATACATTGTAGAAAGATTTAAGATTAAAAAAAAATCCCTCGTGTGTGTGTGTGTGTGTGTGTGTGTGTGTGTGTGTGTGTGTGTGTGTGTTCAAGAGAGACAGAGAAACAGAGACAGCGAAGGAGTTTGGGGAGGGAGGAAGGGAGGACATGGTATCTTGTATGCTTGTATGTGTGGTCAGAGGACAATTTGTGGGAGTTAGTCCCCTTCATCATGTGGATTCTGGGAATCACACTCAGGTGGCAAGCTTGGTGGTAGGTGATTTTACCCACTGAGCCATCTCACAGGTCCAATTAAGTATATTTTTGTATTCATGAAATCGTACTGCTGTCTATTTTGGCACTCAAAATGTCATAGGAATTCACCTAAGTACTGTTAGATTTATCTCAGTTTTCATCATACCTTGGAAACTGAAATAAAGCATGGTTATTTTTTCTCATATCCTAGCAAATAAGCGGATTTGTTAATAGAAAAAGTAGAACAATGAACATGCCATTGCATGAAGCATAGCAATATTCTGAAGTTTAATTCCTTGGTTAAAGAGTGTATTTGTAAAATAATGGTAAATTGCCCCTGAATACTACTAAATCTATTTTTATTTACTTATTTTTTGTGGTGCTGGACATTGAGCACAGGGCCTCAGTTAGGCTGTGAATTAAAGAGATTTAGGTTCCTGCCCATGCTGCTGGTGTGTGGGTGTCTCTTGCCATTCATCATACCAATATTAGAACTCCCTTGTCTTTTAGATATTTGTCTGTTTAATAGATGTGAAAATATATCACTTTGTATTTCTAGTACCATGAAAAAATGTGTCTTTTTATTTAGTTTAAGGACAATGTGTTTTCTTCTATGAGTTCTTTCTTCTCTCATATTATTTAATTATCTATTAGTTGATAAATTTGTTATGCATATAAAATTGACTCAGTACACACATGTGTATATGTATGTGTATGTGTGTGTGTGTGTGTGTGTGTGTGTGTGTGTGTGTGTGTGTGTGTGTGTGACTGTACTTGTCCATTCAGTGTTTGAAGTTTAATTTTGCTTATAGGGTCTTCAGATTTTTGAAAACATAGCAATATAGCATTTAGTTCTTTTCTCCCCGTATGCTGTTTGGGTTTTGCATCTTGCTTAAAAAGTCCTCTTCCGCCTAGCATGGATTTATTTATAGACTAAGCACTAAGTATAATGTTTACATTTTTATAAAAATAAGAGGCAATCACCAGAACTCTCCTCATAAAAAAAAGCCTCTAGATTTTTGAAAGATGGGTATAGCAGAGGCTAAACTCTCAGGTGTAGTTAAAATAACTGTAGAATTCTTTATTCTCTTCCTTGGTCTGTCAGTTCCTGGGCTCTCTCATAATTGCCTCCAAAAACATGCTTTGGAAATGTAATCCCTTATGTGAGGGTATGGAGATGTGGTCCGAGGGGAGGTTTTTATGCTATAAAGAGAATTCTTAACTTGGGCATCTATTTCACTTCTCTCTCACAATTGTTTTATTTTTATTGACACCATTATTGTGTGTACATGTACATGGTATGTGTATGTATTCACATGGGTAGGTTCACTCACGTAGGTGCCTGTGTGAGCATGCACTGAAAGGCCACAGGTGATCGATCATTATCTCCAAATCTGGAGCGCATTGATTTTGCTAAGCTGGCTGGCACTTAGCTTGGACACTGATCTATTTTTTAAAGGTCTTGAGGCTTCACAATCAATCTCCTGCCTTTTTTTTGTGCTCCTTGTCCTTCTGCTTTCCATTGTGGTAGGATGTAGCAAGAAGACTCCTGCTAGACATGGGCTCCTGGATCTGGGAATGTGTAGCCTCTAAAATCTCAAAAATTAAATATTCTATTTTTACAGATCACCTAATCTCAAGTTACAATAAATAAACAGTTAGTTTTCACTGGAGAATGCTCTTTGTAATTTCCTTGCTTCATTCTGGGAACACTTGCTATTATTTGCTATTTAAAATTAAAAACCTAGGGGCTAAGGAGGAGGCTCAGTAAAGTGCTTTCTGCACATGCATGAGGACCTGAATTTGATCTACAGTGTGTACTTAAATGTTGGACGTGGCAGTACACGCCTGCAACCCCAGCTCTTGGGGCAATGAGCAGATAAGCAGATCCCTGAACCTCTTTTGCCATCTAGCTTAGCAAAATTAATGAGCTCCAGGTTCAGTGAACGTGATCCAAGAAGACAACATTGACTCGTGGCCTCTCTGTGCATGCTCACATAGGCACCCTCGTGCACAAATATACCTACCCACATGAATACATACATATACTCTCTCTCTCTCTCTCTCTCTCTCTATATATATATATATATATATATATATATATATATATATATATATATATATACAAAAACAATGTCAATTAACAAAAAATAAAACCATTGTCAGAGAGAAGTGAGACAGATGTCATGGTAAGAATTCTTTCAAATAATCTTAAAACTTCTTCCAGGAGCTGTAGAAGTCAAGGAAGAGGAGGAAGATAGTCTAGCCTTCTCAGAGGGGATGCTTGGTGCTGTTTTCTTCTATAAGATTTAACTTATGTGACTCATTGACAGATCACAGACAGCCTGGAATACTATCTTGAAGTAAATGTTGCCCGAACGATGTGCAAGAAAATTATAGGAGAAAATGAAAACTGCTTGTTTCAAAATGATCCTAAAATGAAAAAGGTATGTAACTGACATGAGAGGAAATGTCCCCTGTCCCACCTGTGTGATAAAGAACACTGTGAGGCCAGTTTCTTATTTAAACTCTATTCTGTTTGAGGTTGTTGTAGCCAGACTCCAGAACTAAGGTGTTGTTTCTATTATCTATCATTGACAACATCCTACCCTATTCTACAAGACATACACATCCATGTATACATGTACATGCAACCAGGGAGACATATATACATACAAATATACACAGAGAGACATATACATTATACACAAAAATGGGCTTAAAGCAAAGCCAATTCATTATTTCTTGCTATTTTGCATTCTGGACAGGGTTATTTTGAGCAATCCTTCTACTACTGTGGTGTGTACTGGCAGGAATATTCCAGACTAGTGGGTCACTCACAATCATATATTAGTGCTTCACAGAGGATGGCTGATAAAGCTGGAGCTACTCAAGCTTCATTCCTTCTGTTTGAGGCTACTCTGGTACAAAGCCATAGAGTGAAAAATAGTGTTCTGTTCTCTTTCAGGACTGAGGGATATCCTGGCATATGGATCTGTTCTTACTAAAATTAGGGACATCTTAGCCAAACTAGCATAAATTCACCAGCCTGTATTCATCCACTTCTTCATAAATAGGTGGTCCTGAGGAAATCTACCATTTTAATTTCAAATATTTATTATATATTGTTAATAATAATAGTAGTAGTATATGTGTACATGCTTGTGCATATGCGTGCCAGAGGTTGATGCTGGGTTATCTTCTATTGCTCTTCATCTTGCTTTTGGAGATATAGTCTTTCACTGAAGACGGAGCTTGTCATTTGGGCTAGATGGGCTGGCCAGGAAGCCCCCGGGATCTGTCTCTGTTCCCCACAGTGCTGAGGTTACAGGTGTGTGATGCTGTCCCTAGCTTTTACATGGTGCTGGAGTCTGAATTCAGGTCCTCATGCTTGTTCAGCAAGCACTTTACCCACTGAGCCAACCTCGGCAGCCCTTCTTAAAGAAGAGGTAAGTAGACTCTGCTATCATTTCCTGAGTAGTGGCCATCTTGGTAGAGACCCTGACGCAAGTACCATGTACTGGGAGGAGCTCAGCCAGTGAAGAGCATGGCATGACCACTTCATTGAAATCCCTGAAGCAGGGAGTGTCAGGAAGAAATCATTTTGTCTGATTCTATTAGGTCTGCTGTTGTATGGAAGCCTTGGGAGGCTTGCTTGATATAGTATCCCACATTCTGTCTTTTGCTCTTTCATGTTAGAGTTGAGGGGCATCATAGCTATGCTCGAGTGTTAACCAGACCTTGTGCCTGAATGGATACACAGGGCCAGTCTCTCACAATGGGATCAACATTAATGTCTGATAAGCAAAGATATTTTATATCTCAATGTTGTATAAGTGTACATAAATGTTTTCTAAAACTACATGAAATTTTACTAGAGATAAAAATGGTAGTATGGGTCTTTCTGGGACCCTTGATGATTGTCTAATTTTTTCTCCCAGGAGTTTCCTTGAACATCATCTATGTCAACCTTGATAGAAATTCATATAACTTGAAGCTTTTCTTCCCTCTGCTTTTTAAATTACTGTGCATTATGCATATTTTGACGCAATTTCTTTGTCATCTTTGCTTGGGGATGTTATTCACATTTATATGGTTGCCATAGAGGTGGTTCAACTTTACATTTTTATTCTAAGTTAATGTGAATTTTTAGGGGAGAGACTAGAAAAACAAGGGTGCTCATTGTCCACCATGAGACTAGAGCTGCACTTCTGCAAGATCCAAGACCAGGTCACACATCTCTCTGAGATTCTCCACCTGAAGCCTATTTTGCTTGGTGTCTGGACAGATTTTTCTACTCTCTCTAAAAAACACGTGGCTCTGTTCTATTCTTGTTTTATTGGTTCCATAGAGCAGAATCCAATAAAGCAAAAGGCCTCTGTGGATCACAGGAAAATGGGTTGTAGCTGGAGGCAGACTGGAAGGCTGAGCAGTTCCTGTGTTTAGAATGATTTTGTGAGGAAGGTTGGCTCCTCTGCCTTAAGGATCAAGGTTGACCAGGCATGCGGTGCAGTGGGTATGGTTGATTCACTCTTAGTCCTCTCGAGTCAAATCCTGGGACCTGGAAATAGGGACTTATGTGATTTCCTTATTTCTTTCATATCTGTGTGTGTGTGTGTGTGTGTGTGTGTGTGTGTGTGTGTGTGTGTAATGTATATGTGTATGCACATATACATGCAGACTATTCTCTACCTTATCTTTTGGGATAAGTTCTCTCCTCGAGCTCATTGATTGGTAGACTGGGGGGACCACTGACCTCTCTGACTGTCTCTGCTCATCCTGTGCTTGGGTTATAGATATGTACAACCATGACTGAATTTTTTACATGGGTTCTTGGGATCCAAATTCAGGTACTTTACTATGCCATCTCCATAGTTCCCTAAATAACTGTTCTTTTTCTCTTTTTTAGATGCTGTTTTGCATTTTTATTGTTAGCTCCAAACCGTGGAAATTTGAACTTAAAATGCTGAAGAAACAATGCAAAGAGATCTAATCAGCATCCAGTACACCTTGCCACTCTCACTTTTCTTTTAATTAATAAAGATGCTTGAAAGATAATGGACCACCATCTCTGACCCACTGACTATGGTTTTTTTTTTTTTTTTTTTTTGTGTGTGTGTGTGTGTGTGTGTGTGTGTGTGTGTGTGAGAGAGAGAGAGAGAGAGAGAGAGAGAGAGAGAGAGAGAGAGAGAGAGGGAGAGAGAGAGAGAAAGAGAGGAGAGAGGAGAGAGAGAGAGTTCTTTGGATCTGGTGCTGAGAATGAGTGAAGCTATTTTCGGGGGTTTGGCAACCTTCTCAGGGTGGTTCCTTTATCTCTGAGGAGAGACAATCTGCTGCCAAAATAAACAGTTGCTGTTTCTAGCCTAACCAAGTTCCAAGCATAAATACTTTTCCACTGTCCACAGTTGCTCCATGGGACCCCTTCTTCGCTCATCAAGTCCACACGTGTGCATGGAATTAACAAAACACTAGCAAAGCACCTGTCAGTTGCATGGCCATCCTTGAGGTCATCCATTCCCCCATCTCATGTTTCTGATCATTCCCGAGAAAGTCAGTTTCGACTTAGCTCATTCATGACAGGCTTTCTTTTTATAATCCTAAATAAGGGTTTGGGCAGATGGAGAAAGACAGTTGGAGTCTTGAATCATAACGCCCTTAGCCTCCAAGTTCTGTTCGGTTCTGAGTGGCTCAAGTCACAATCTGGCAAAGTTCACCAAGAATTCTCCACTGGTATTCTGGTTGAGTAGTGTATTCTCTACCTATAAACACATATGGGGAGGATGGCTTTGTTGAGGTCAACCAGAAGATGCATTACACTTTACAGCACAGCTGGATTGTTGTTCATTTGCAATGTCAGCTGATCTGGACCTACAGGTTCAAATAATCTATGTTGCCTCCAAAGTCTTTCTGGAGCTTAGGGAGATCAAGGTGACACATGGCTTCTGGAGAGCAGTACCTTCTAACACTGCCCGTCTTCTGTGTGCGGTGGGTAAGGTTGCCACCCAGAGACTCCTGTTATGGTGTCACACAGCAGGCATAATTCACCTGTGCCTCCTTTGGCTTGATGCTGGGCTGTGATGAAGGGTTAAATGTAATGGCACTCTTTCTGATCCCTGGCTCTGTGGTGATTGGGAACAGGGTGTGGGACTCTAAGAGAGGAAGTCTTATAGAATTTAGGCTCCCTGCCCTGAGAGCAGGCTGTTTCTACTCCTTATGGCTTCTTCATGGTCTCACCCACTTCCCACTGCTGTGCACATTTTCTATCTGGGAGCAGCCTTTAGGTGTCCCTATGGGAAGGGGACATGAGCTTTGGAATGCCAGCTCTCGGAATGTTTGACTTCTGGTTGGTCCAGAGAAAGGTGGGGTGATGTTCCTGCTGGCTCTCGCCAAATCAAGGGTACACATACCAATAAGACAGAGCACGGAGGGAGACCAGGGTTAATGTCCCTGTGCAGAGCTGCTCACTGGCCTTTGAAAGACTCACTGCAGCGTCACCCAGAATTCCCTGTGGGGGAAGCTGGGACACTTGAGCCCAACCTGCAGGGCCCACAGATGCTGTGTGCATGGGGCTGTGGAAACGGTGCTGGAGGAGGAAAGGGCTTTGACCTTCACAGAGGGGAATTACACAGACCTGAACAGTGTTCGATGCAGTACTCGGTTCTGCACAGCAGTGACCTTGGTCCCAGAAAATGGGGTCCACTGCTCTCAGCTCACTGTCTGCGACACCATGTCATCTCCATCAGGTGGTGCACTGTATTTGGGTCAGCCAAACTCAGTGCTTTTATCGTTGTATTATCCATCTTGGCTCTAATTTTTGACATGAATTCTTTTCTGTATATATTTAGGATGGTATGTGGTATATGCATATTATCATGTGAGTATACATGCATATGAGTATGTATGTGTATGGAAGCCAGAGGTTGTCTTCTATCACTCTCCACCTTATTTTTTGAGATAAGGTCTCTCATTGAACCCAGAGCTCAATGAATTGACAACACTTTGCTAGCCAGTGAGCTCCAGAAATCCTCTTGTCTCCTCATGGCTAGGATCATAGGCATGTGCTATCATGCTTGACTGCGGGTACAAACTTGGATCCTTATGCTTGCAAGGAAAGCTGTTTACCAACTGAGCCATCTCCCCAGACCCTTAATGCCCATTCTTATGCAAAATAAATGGCCTGTTTTCAAAGATGAGTCATTTCCAGGGTATTTAACCAACTAACAGCACATACGTGCTGGCAAAATGTCTCACTCTGACCTTGTTCAAAAGATCATCTGGTCTGTAACCATATGGATCATGGGACCAAGGAGGAGTCCTGTTTTATGTCATTGGGACTAAAATACATATCCTCTCCAGGGGAGTGCCATTCAAATATCCTTTTAAATTTGTCCTCGGTGTTGTTCTAAGTCTTGGGTAAATGTGTCCTGTGGACTGGGGAAGAACAGCAGATAGAAAGGGCTGTGGACCTGAAAAGGCCAGTTCCAGGTCAGGGGGAGCTGTTAGCAAGAGGAGATGAGTGAACCCTCTAGGCTACATGCTTTTAGTTGATTTTAAAAATTACTCATTCTGAAGGCCACGTGACTTGACTGTGCAATATATTGTTGGTTTTTACAGGCTTTGTTAGAAAAGACACATCTGACTAAAACCACCTGAAAACTGAAGACTATTCTTCAGAGAACGTCTCCCTTTGTCCTGTCTCCCACGGAAAGTTGCTTCTATCTTCTCCGTCCACCCTGGAGAAGTAGCTTTTCATTATCTGTCTCCTAGAAAAGTAGCTGTTTGCTATCTTCCCCCTTCTCCACAGAAAAGAGGCCTTTTCTTTCCTAACAATTAACCACAGAATCAACCATTCCTGGGAAAGGAACTAAAAAGATACAAGTCCTCATGACTTTCTAATCAGCACTTTTTTCCCTTGAGATTCCCAGAACCCAGAATATCCTACAGATAACACCTCTGCCTCAGTATCAGAAGAGTAGACCTCCAGAAGTTTCTAACCACTCTGCTGCCAGCCAGCCTATCTGCCATGTCCTTCCACCATATGGGTTCTGTGGATCAAACTCAGGTCCTCAGGGTTGGCAGCAAGTACCTTTACCTGCTGAGCCAACTTAGCAGTTTTCTATGCAAATCCTGTACTCACAACATCCAGGCAAGTGGTCTTTGTTGGCCACAGGCTCCATCTTTTCGGTTTGTCAGCTCCCAAATAAGTCTTTCTCCTTGCCCTAACAATTTGTCCAGGCTGGCCAGAGCATGCTCAGTCTAAGCCTCGGAACATGGAGCTCTGTCTTTCATAGTCTCAGGACACAGGAGTAGTACTGAGTTACTGGGAAAGTTCCCCACTATAGGCAACAAGGCTGGAAAAGTTTGCCAGTTTTGACCATTTAGTTCTCTTACCATAGAAAGAGTCTATCTTCTGAGATACTAGCAAAGACAGAGCACGGTTCTTTTTCTGAACAGTGGAACACCACTCTCTTCTGGGCAGAGGCAGAGACATGAGTCAAGATGTTCCCAGGTCTGCCTTCTGTGGAGAGCAAGGTACACGAAAGAACCTGCATGCTCATGCTCACAGATGCCCAGAGGATGCAGCTACCATGAATAACTGAGGCACTCTGACATATCAGAGGCAACAAAGATCATACTGAACAACATACTGATCATGCTGATCAACACTGAACCAGTGTTGCACACACTATTTATGGAAGAAAAAAACTAAAAAGGTAAACTATTGTTTACCAAAGTGGTGTTTGGAGGTCACAAGATCTCCTTCCCAATAACTCAGTACTACTCCTATGTCTTGAGACTAGCTGTGAGCAATGTGTAAGCAAAAGAGGGTAATTGCAGTTCAATAAACCACATTACAGACGGTGGCCTGGAAATGGCTCTTGGGACACAGCTGACAATATCTGACAGTAAAAGACAAAGGTGGGAAAGAACCATGTACAGCCATGGCAAAGCAGGGAGGAAATGGGCCCCACTTCCAGGAAGGAGACAGGCAAAGGCTGTGTGTGGCCATAGCATGGGGTCACTCAACATAAAGGTGCGTGAAGACAGCCAAGTTTATATGAACAACTTGTTACCGAGACACATGAGTGTAGCTGGAGTTTTCCTGCCTGGCCCACAGTCAGGACAAATCTCTGTCACCTGCCAGTCCCACAGCCACTCAGACCCGACCAAGTAAACACAGAGACTTATATTGCTTACAAACTGTATGGCCGTGGCAGGCTTCTTGCTAACTGTTCTTACAGCTTAAATTAATCCATTTCCATTAATCTATACCTTGCCACATGGCTCGTGGCTTACCGGTATCTTCACATTCTGTTTCTCATCGTGGCGGCTGGCAGCGTCTCTCTGACTCAGCCTTCCACTTCCCAGCTTTATTCTCCTCCTTGTCCCGCCTACACTTCCTGCCTAGCCAATGGCCAATCAGTGTTTTAATTATTGACTAATCAGCAACACATTTGCCATACAGAACATTCCACAGTACTTCCCCCCCCTTTTTTTTTTTCAAAAAGGAAGGTTTTAACCTTAACAAAGTAAAATTACATATAATTTGGGAATTTGGGCGTAGCTTCTCTTACTACTTCCTGCTGGAGGGGGGCGCTGTATCTTATGGGGACACAAAGAAAATTTTAGGATCATGGAGTAGTCCGTGAGGCTGTATCATCTGAGCCAGTTGCCTTCAAACCATTCTGGATGTTGGATCATCTGGGCCATGGTGTCATCGGAGACCTTTCAGGGGGTCTTGGCTGGTCAAACCTGATGTGTCTTAATCTGGAACAAATCCATAGCCTCTGGCTTTCTGTGGAAACAAAAGCAGAGTCTCCTTTCCAAAGTAACATATCCTTATATCCAAATTTTGAAGTCAAGGTACCTTTAAAATATACATATTGGCATAACTCAACAGCTTTTGCAATCAAATGTTTTTCTGCAGTTAAAAGTCCCAAAGACAACACAATGCAGATTCTCTGTGTAATATCCATTTTTACGTGGCTTATT